TGTCCCTGTTTGTTAAGGTGTGTACTGCAGGTGGGATTTGAGTTTTCAGAAGCCCACACCAAGGCAAGTGTTTCTTTCTGCCTCCTGCCTGTGTATCAGGATGTACCTGTCAGCCCCGTGCCTGCCTACCCTGAATCATCCTTTCATGTTAATGCTCTAATCCTCTGGCATTGTGATCAAGCTCCAAATTAGAAACCTTCCTTTATAAAAGTCACCTTGGTCATAATGTGTCTTCACAGGAATAGGACAGTCACTAAGACAGGTTGTTTGAGTAATATTTTAGCATAGTATCTGCCTGTATTCTGCCCATGTCATGTGAAATTGAGTAAGACTGAATGAAAACAATATACTGATTTCTTGACAAAACAGTCCGTCTGTAGCATGGTTATTACTGACGACTCATGCAGATCCATAGTGAAAAAGAGCAACAAGAGGGGCAGAGAACTTGGTAGCTTCAGATGGCTGTCATGTACTGAAACAGAGATAACAGTTACCAGGGTGGTTAGTACCATTAAAGAAAAGGCGCCTATTCATCCTTGGAAATATAGAAAAGTTGTCGTAAGGACATTGCCCACCCAGCCAAACATTTGACTATGGAAGGAAAAGGAAGGTGATTCCTGGTCCCAGAAATCACCTTCATACAGAACCAGCTGCTGCTCTGTTCCAATGGGGCCAGATCCATCCAAAGCTAGAACCCTGTGTGGGTGGTATCATCTGTGCTACTTTTTCTTGAAAGAAGATAGATGCAAATTTTAAAGATTATGAATTCTTCTAGACTTAAAGCTCAGCACTTTTGCAGCCATCTGTTTGGCAGAGTCAAGACCTCAGTAAGGAGACAATGAGTTTTTAATGGCATGAATCCATGTTGATGAAGTCTTGTTTGCATTTTGAGACCATAAGATGTTGAGATACCCAATCTTTGAGACACCTGCCATGAGTAGCTTCATGTACGGAGTGAACTGGGCTAAAGAGTAAAATGTGTGAGAAGTTGCAGTGAGAAAGAACCATCTAAGCCCTTTGAAACTGAAGTCCTAGGTGTCTGATACAGACCTGCAGGATTTGGTGTTTGCCCAGCAAGGGTTCAGGCTTGCTTTGGTCCAATATTTCCTTATTTCTTTGGAAAGGAAATGTGTGTTCTATGCTATTGCATGTTGGGTAGATATAATTAGTGTTTTGATTTTACAGTATGCCACAATCAAGAGATTGCTTTCAGGGACATTCAAACTGTGTTAGGACTATTACAGAATATGCAGATCTTTGAAGTTAGACTAAATGCATTTTACATCATGGGTTAACTCTGAGTCTATCATGACATGTGAACATGTAGTGGGTTGAATTGAAAATCTCCCAGGTAGGATGATTTTGTCTCTGCTTTGTGGCTTTCATTTGGGTGCTTATGGAACCTTTAGGAGGAGGAGCCTTCCTGGGGGAAGTTAGTTCCTGGGGATGGGCGTTGAGTGTTTACCTGATCAGCACACTTTGTCATCTCTGTATGTTTTCTGGTGGTAGAAAGTGAGCAGCTTCCTTCCTTCTCATGCAGCCACGTCATCACCACCATTATAGACGCCATCCCTAAATAATATGAAATAAAATGTAGGCAATTGCTTTTCCTTGCAAAGGCATTTTTCTGGTCTGATATTTTTATTTTATATTCTTTGGCTTATGGATTTGGCTTTTGTACACGTGAAGCATTTGCTCTTCTGCTGAGCTTTACTCACATCTTAACTTTTCAGTATCGGCAGAGGGTATCATTTTTTTCCCTCCAGGATGGTATGTATTCATAACATTAATTCTGAGTCTCCTGAATCATTGTGTCTTAGTTAGGGTTTCTATTGATGGAATGAAACACCATGACCAAAAACCATGTTGGCAGAATGAATAGTTTATTTGGCTCACACTTATTGCTGTTTATCTTTGGAGAAAGTGAGGAAAGAACTCACACAGGGTAGGAACCTGGAGGCAGGAGCTGATGCAGAGGCCATGGAAGGGTGTTGCTCACTGGTTTGCTCCTCATAGCTTGCTCAGCCTGCTTTATTAATGAACCCAAGACCACTAGCCCAGGGATGACTCTTTTATTCTTCTCCCCACACTGCTTGTTTATGTTTTCCTGGATTTCTTTAAGGGATTTATTCATTTCCTCTTAAGGACTTCTGTCGTTCATACAGGAGGTTTTAAGGTCTTTTTCTTGTATTGCAGCTATGTTGAATATTCAAAGCCTGATGTGGTAGAATAGCTGGGCTCTACTGGAGACTTATTGCCCTGACTGTCATAGATTGTCTTTTTACGCTGTCATCTAGGCTTCTAGGATTGGGATGATCATAGGTCTAGGACAGGTTCTAATTTCTGGGTTTGTCTTTGTTGGGTGGGTGTTTTGTTTCTTGATTTCTGTTTCCTCTCTGCATTTCCAGGGAGTGGAATGGCTATGTGTTGCCTGGTAGGACATTTTCTTTGGACCTGACAGTTTTGGCCAATGTGGTTCCAGGTAAAGTGTGTTGCTGGGTATTGGGAGCTGACACTTAAGAATAGGGATAGGCTAGAGATCGGAAGGGATTCACAGTCGGGAGCAGAGTAGAGTGTTCCATGAGGATCTGCTTATTTCATCCGCTTGGAATGGAGGGAGACGGTGAAAAGAGGTCACTGCAGAGGGTCTTCTATGGCCCTGGGGATGAGACTCACAGGTAGATCTAGAGGAACAAAAGGAGAGGGTAAGATATACAGACAGCCTGCCTGCTTCCCTGGTGGGAGTGGTCTGTTGGTTAGCTGGATGTGTCTTTTGGTTAGCAGGATGTGCCTGCTGGAATTGGGGGCTGGGATAAATCAACAAGTGTGGAGAGGGAGGTTAGAGGGGAGAAGATCTGCAGGATCCACAGGAGCTATGGGCAGAGGGGGAGGAAGTCTGCAGCTGGTGTCCTGTTGCAGATATAGAGATGAGACCTGGGGTATTGGGTTTGGAGTAGAGGAAAGGATGTGAAGGTCTTCAGTTAGCTTACCTGTTTCCCCAGCCTGCTCAGCTGGTGTGTTATGGTGAACGCCTGATGGTGTTGGGGGCTGGGGTACTGAGAAGTGTTGGGGGAGGGAAGGTTGGAGGAGATCTTTGTGATCCACTGAGGATGGGGTCAGAGAGGAAAGGGAGAACACAGCAGGTTTTCTGCTACAAAACTGGGGATGAGTCTGGGGAGATGGGATCTGGAGAACAGGAGAGGTGTGGATCCACCACCATCAGCCCACTTGTTGTGAAGAGCTAGGTCACTGTCACTGTCTGAACAAAGCAAAAACAAATGTCAACAGTGTAAATAACTCAGTGTCCAATTATCTCAGACTCACTGTCTTCTGGGCTCCTCCAAGGGACTCCAGTCACTTCTCTAGCTCTGCCCTCTGCAGCACACACAGCCTGTCTTCCAGGTTCCAGCTGCCTCCAGTTCACTGCTGCTGCTGTAGTCATCCCATGGAACTGGCATCTCCAGTGTGCTCAGGCCTCTTGCTGCAACTGGGCTGCAGTTTCACCAATAGCCTCTCCTAGGCTTTCTTTGTGGTGCTAACCCTCAACTTCTCTGCATAACTCCATTCAAATGACCTCTCACAATGCCAAGCCTCAGCTGCCCTTCATGACTCCTTCATGCCTTTAAAACCAGTACCGCCTGGGTGACTGTTACAGTACTAAGTTCACCTGCCAGAGCAAGGTACAACCTTGGCCACTGTGGTGTTTGTAAAGAAAATAACCCCCAAAGGGTATAGGACTATTGGGAGGTGTGGCTTTGTTGGAATAGGTATGGTCTTGTTGAAGGAAATATGTCACTCTGATGGCAGGCTTTGAGGTCTCATATATTCTCAGGCCTCACTCAGTCTGATATACAGGCCACTTCCTGTTGCCTGCAAGATATAGGACTCTCAGCTATTTCTCCAGCACCATGTCTGCCTGCAAGCCACCATGTTCCACCAAGAGGATAATGGACTGAACCTCTGAACTGTAAGCTGCCCCAATTAAATGTTTTCCTTTATAAGAGTTGTCATGGTCATAATGTCTCTTCATAGCAATAGAAACTCTTTGGAGAGCCTGCTCCAAGACCACCTCCAGAGTATGCAAAAAATCCACAAATAGGGTGAGGACTAGACTTTTTCTATCTGAGGGATAGGAACAAAAGCACTCACACCTTCTGATGACAACTTTCTCTTTTAGTTGATCTTGAAAAAAATCTCTCTGTACACACATAGCTAAGACAAATATGAACTACACCTCTCTCCACACAACTATATTCTCCAAACAGTAACATCTCTTTCCACCAGCCATTTATCTCTGCACACAGCTACTTCACTTCACATGCTTCTTCTACATTCTCCACCTCTGTCTCCCTTTACATCTGTCTCTCATATAACTACATCTCTTGTTTCATACTTCTTACATCCCTCATGCACACTTCTCCCTCTGTAAAATCAGGTACATCTCTCTTTCAGCGCGCGCGCACACACACACACACACACACACACACACACACACACACACATACACACACACACAAACGCCCTCTACAGTCAAACTCTGGACATTTATTTGTTAAACATTTTCAGGTCTGACCCATTGTCATAACACAAGATAAGTCACACAGTTTTTCACAGGCTAGAGATGTCATGCCAGCTGGGCATGGTGAGTAAAGTAAGCACGTAGCTCTGAGTGGTAGGGTTCTCAAACAGAAAGTGACATTGAAATTCAGGGCTTAACAATAAACAATTAGTTGGCTGAACCTTGAGTGGTAGGGCTACATACAGAAAGTCAATTACTTTAGGGGGTTATGTCTTAATGTTGTCAGCCAGACTTTGGTTTAACAGACACGTGGGAACTTGTCCTTGTGTATTCTCTGCAGGGGCAGCTAGTCTGTTTTGAATTTGCTCTAAAATCTAAAATTAGCTGTCTTTGTGACTGAGAATACTGTTACTTGCCTATTTTAATTATGAAAAATAACCTAGTAGTATTTCTATTCATCAAAATTATACATCTTATGCAGAAATCATCTTCCTGACCCTCCACAGCTGTATGTGTGTCCAATGATGGAATATTTTCATGAGGTAAACACACAATTAGTGGGGAAAATATTCATAGCTGTTTTAAGGGAAGAAATGTAATGGCATGTGAGAAAAATTACAGAGAGAAGCAACCAGTCATTTACAGTCAGTAACCCCACAGCTTTGAAAGTCAGGCTCCCCATCAGAGAATTATCTAGTGAGTCAACCTGCTGAACACTGGTTGTCACCTGCTGTATATTCCCATGACCTCTGGTAAAGCCATTGCTACCAGCAGCTCTCAGCAAAACCCTAATGAAGAGAGCCACCTGTGGTACACAGCTTCTGTGTACTGACTCTGAAGAACCACTGCCCAGAAGATTTCACCTCAGTGATGCTGGTCTTTTCTATCACTGCAAATTTCTCAGCTCCAGCTAACCAGCATCAGTTGTCTCAATAAGGCAAAGGTTTTATTTCAGTGGTTCTGGTCTCTTGTTAATCACAGTAGATTTTTTCAGCTCCAGTGGACCAGAGAGCATAGATTCTTTACACAAAAGGTCTGGTAGAATCTTTACTTCCTTCTGAAATGTCAGAAGCCAGGCCTCCATCTTCTGCACTGCTCTCAATATTCTTATCTTCCAAGCTCCTACAGAACAGTTTGCTGAGCTCTCAACACTCAATGGCTTTTCTGACCCAAAGTTCCAAAGTCCTTTCACGGTCCTTCCCAAACAACATGGTCAGGTCTGTAAGCAATACCCAACGATACTGGTACCAACTTGTCTTATTTAGGGTTTCTATTGCTGTAAAAAAAACACCACAGCTAAAAAAGAAGTTGAGGAGGAAAGGGTTCATTTGGTATATACTTCCATATCACTGCACATCAAAGGAAACCAGGGCAGGAACTCAAACAGGGCAGGAACCTGGAGAGAAGAACTGATGCAGAGGCCATGGAGGGGTGCTGCTTACTGGCTTGCTCCCCATGACTTGCTCAGCCTTCTTTCTTATAGAACCCAGGACCACCAGTCCAGGGATGGCACCACCCAAAGTGGGCTGGGCCCTCTCTGACAATTACTAATTAAGAAAACGCCCTACAGACTTGTCTACAGCTGGATCTTATTGAGGCATTTCCTTATCTGTGGTTCCTCCTCTCAGATAACTAACTTGTGTCAAGTTGACCTAAAACTAGCCAGCACACATTGGATTACAGGTGCTTAACATTCTCCCTACCTTTCTGTATGTTTTTAAGTTTTCTTAAATTTTTTGTTATTGTTTTGTTTTGGTGTGAGTTGTTGTTGTTGTTTTGGTTTTTTTGAGACAGGGTCTCACTATACAACAGCTTTGGCTGTCCTGAAATTAGCTCTATAGACCAAGCAGGTCTCAAACGCACAGATCTACCTGCCTCTGCCTCCTGAGTGCTGGGATTAAAGGTGTGCACCACCATCCACCAGGCAAGTCTTTTGAATTAAAAAATATATATATGCTTGAGTCTTTTGCCTATATATATATGAATGTGAACCAAGCATGAGCCTCATGTTCATTGAAGTCAGAAGAACATATTGTCTTCTCTTGATCTGAAGTTTCAGATGGTTGTGAGCCTCCAAATGAGTGCTAGGTATTGATTGAAGTCTTCTGCAAAGCAGCACATTATCTTAACTGTTGACCCAACTTTACACTCTGATTTTTTTTCTAAATCAACATTTCCTTTGCTAATGTTTTTGAGAATGTTTTATAAGCCAGTCAGTAACTTATTAAAATTTCATTTATTCATAGAAATATCATATTACAGTTTAAACTGGCCCACTCTAGTTTTCTGGAAGACCAGTATGGAAGTGGAATAAATTTTTAAGTCTTTGGAGGAATTTTGATTGGCCCCCTGTGTGGTTTTTTCCTTTGTTTGTTTGTTTGCTTGTTTGTTTGTTAGAGACAGGCTTTCACTATGTAGCTCTGTCTGTCTTTAAAATCTCTACATAGACCAGACTGGCCTCAAAATCACAGCGATTCACCTGTCCCTGTCTCCAGAGTTTTGGAATTAAATGTGTGTGCCACCATGCACATCCTTGTTCATTTCTTTTTTGAAGTTAGGAATTTTGATACAATTTTGCTGATGTATACTCAGTAGCATTGCTCTGTTTGTATGTCTTTCTTTATTATGTTAGTAATCATTTCTCTTGCCATGTCATAACCTATTCAGTGGGCACACAATTGAGAGGCATGATCTTCCTTTCCTGTTTCCTTCTACAATGACTTGGTGACTGCATTTGAAATTCTGTGACATGGAATAAATGTATGGAGCACACAGAATCATGTAAATGTATTCTCAATGAAGTATACTTGTACAGTTCAGTCAGTCTCAACATTTCTATTACATACATATGTGGGATACTTTAGGGTACATTGACCTATGAGGATGTTCATGTGAACTTCACTCCTGAAGAGTGGGCTTTGCTGAATCCTTCCCAGAAGAGTCTCTATGAAGAAATGATGCTGGAAACCTGCAGGAACCTCACTGCTATAGGTAGGAATGCTAGATTTTTGTCATGTTTTACAAAGGGGACAAGCATTTCTTGATCATGGATACTCTCGGGGGATTTCAGTTGTGATAAAGAAAGAATGTGGTGAATAAGTCAGGGATGGTTCTCAGGTTCAACAAAGATAGTGACTTAAATTTTGCATAATTTCCTATAATATATCATACATTTTGTGGTACTGTATTTTAGGCTACAAATGGGAAGACCAGAATATTGAAGAACATCATCCAAGTTCTAGAAGACATGAAAGGTAATTGTCATATACAAGCTGATACATCTGTATCTCTGAAGAAATTTTAATGTGCCCTGAAGCTTTAAGGAATGGCAACACTGTAAATAAACACAGGTTTATGATGATTATTAAATACCCACAAAACCATGTACCTCAATGTCAGGTAGGTGATCCATGTATCCAAGGCATTTCTTTAAGAAAGAAGACAATGAAACAAGTTAACACGTGACACTATTTTAATGATAGCCCCATGAGATCCATTTTGGACTGTTCATCCCTTTATTTTCATACCATTTAAGTATTATATAGGCATACACATTGATTAGGGGGATCAGTGTCTGTCCAAGATCTTGTATATGCAAATAGTCCATAGTAAAGTTAGTGTTGCTCATATACTTATAAAAACTTACCATAGTTTATTGAGAGGGGCAATTTATGAGAGTCAAGAAGGTTGTCATGGTGGAGAAACCTTAATCTCTATACCACATCTCTATGAGGAACAAAAAGTTAGATTGTATGAATGCAATGTGAAAACCTTTTCTTTGTTATTCTTCCTTTAATAGGTATCTCATCTGTCCTTCTGGCTACAAACTATTTGAACATAAGGGATATGGGAAGAAGCAATGTACCTCTCTCTCTCCTACAACAGTTACAAGACATGTTGGAGTGCCCACTATGAGTAGACTTGGTGAATGTGATACAAGTTTACAATTAATTGGTTTTCCAACTACACTGGGAACACATCAACAAACTCACACTGGAAAAAAGCCTTATGATTACAAGGATTGTGGGAATTCTTCTGTCTGTGTTTGTTCACTTTGCAAATGTAGTGTGACTCACAGTATAGAAAAATGTTATGCATGCAATCAGTGTGGTACAACTCTGAATTCTTCCAGTTCTGTTCAGAAATGTGAAAAAACTCATATGGAAAGAGGAAGTGATAAATGTGAATCATCTACTAATGGCTTTAACCATCACAGGAATCTTCAAACACACAAAAGAACCCATAATGAAGAGGATCTCTATGAATATAATCAACATGATAAAGACTTTAGATTTGATTCCTCTTTACAATTACACCAAAGAACTCATGTGGAAGTAGAACCCTATCAATATAATCAAGGTGCAAAAGACTTTGCACATTTCACTGGTCTCCAGTATCCTGAAAATATTCATACTGTGACAAACCCTATGTATGTAATCAATGTGGTAAAACCTTTTCAAGTCACCATTATCTTAAAATACATGAAAGAATTCACACTGGAAAGAAGCCCTGTATATGTAATCAGTGTGGTAAAGCTTTTGTACATTTAACTAGTCTTCAAAATCATGAAAAAACTCATGCTGGGGAGAAACCCTATAAATGCAGTCAATGTGGTAAGGCCTTTGTATGTCACAGTAATCTTAAGATACATGAAAGAAATCACACTGGAGACAAACACTATGTATGTAATCAATGTGGTACAGCCTTTGTAATTCGATGTAAACTTCAAATGCATGAAAGTACTCATACAGGAGTGAAACCCTATGGATGTAATCAATGTGATAAAGCCTTTGCACAATTCAGTCTGCTTCTAAAACATTACAAAATCCATTCTGGAGAGAAACCCTATGAATGCAGTCAATGTGGTAAAGCCTTTTCAAACCACAGTAATCTTAAGACTCATAAAAGAAGTCATACAGGAGACACACCCTTTGAATGTAATCAATGTGGTAAAGCCTTTGCACATTTCAGTCGTCTTCAAAAACATTACAAAATGTTTATGTCAATGTGGTAAAACCTTTAGAAGTCACAGTTATGTTCAAACACATCAAAGAATTCATACTGGAGAGAAGCCCTATGCATGTAATCAATGTGGTAAAGTCTTTGTAAGTCGCAGAAATCTTAAAATACATGGAAGAATTCATACTGTAGAAAAGCCCTATATATGTGATCAATAAGGTAAAGTCTTTGCACATTCCACTAGTCTTCGAAGTCATGAAAAAATTCACACTGGAGATAAACCCTATGAATGTAATCAATGTGGTAAAGCCTTTCTTTGGCGCAGTAATCTTCAAACACATGAAAGAAGTCATACTGGAGACAAACCCTATGAATGTAACCAATGTGGTAAAGCCTTTGTAAGACGCCATAATCTTCAAATGCATGAAAGTACTCATACAGGAGTAAAACCGTATGAATGTAATCAATGTGACAAAGTCTTTGCACATATTATTTATCTTCAAAGGCATGAAAGAAGTCATACTGGAGATAAACCATTTGAATGTAATCAGTGTGGGAAAGGCTTTTCACAATTCTGTCGTCTTCAAAAACATTTCAAAAACCATGCTGGAGAGAAGCCCTATGCATGCAGTCAATGTGGTAAAGCCTTTGCAAGTAGCAGTAATCTTCACACACATAAAAGAACTCACACTGGAGAGAAGCCCTATGAATGTAATCAATATGTAAGTCGCCGTAATCTTCAAATACATGAAACTACTCATACAGAAGTAAAACCCTATGGATGTAATCAATGTGGTAAAGCCTTTGCACATATTTATCTTCAAAGGCATGAAAGAAATCATACTGGAGACAAACTATGAATGTATTCAATGTGACTTGTCTTTGCAAGTCACAGAAGCCTTCAAAAACATGAAAGGTGTCATACTGGAGAAAAACCCAATGAATGTAATTGATGCAGTAAAACTTTGCAGGTCAGTGTAATCTTCACACATCAAAGAAGTAATAGTAAAAAGAGAAACCCTACAAATGTCAATGTGATAATGCCTCTTTGTGTTACAGTCTTCTTCAAAGGCATGACAGGATTACTCCTGGAGAGAAACACCATGAATCTAGTAAATTCAGTAAAGCTTTGCACACCACACACAGTGTTCTCACTGAGCTGTCTCACTAGTGCTCAAGTAAGATTAGTAGAAGCATTCTATCAGTCAAATATTGTCTTTTGTCCAAATTGTTCAAATTTTAAACAAATTGTCATCCAAGGATAGAGGAGCACAGAATAATTTGAATAATAAAACATTTGAAGTATCAGCTTCACTTATTTGCAAATAAAAATAGTATTTATCCTGCCATCCAGTTTTTTTCAATTGTGTTAGTTTATTCTAAGGACCAAATGCTTGTTCCTAACACTTTCTCAGAAACACAAATGAATGACAGGGAATTGTCTCAGTGTATAAAAGTGATTGCTGCTAAGGCTGATGACCTGAGTTCAGTCTCTGGGATACACACATTACTCATACCAGTTTTTCTCTGATTACTACACTTAGGCTGTGGCATATGCACACCACACACCTGCACACTTGAATATCTTTGTAATTAAAGTAAGAAATTAGTGAAGTCATTTGCCTGCTTAAGGCACTTGCTGCCAAACTTGATTACCTCGGTTTGATCTTTAGTACTGACATAGGAGAAGTAGAGAATATACACCTGTAAGTTGTCCTCTGCCTGTCACATCCACAACATGGCACTGGTGTTTACATACTGGTAAAAATTTCAAAAGAGATGAAATTAACAAAGCAAAGAAAATAACCAAAATATTGAGAACATAGGAAATGATTTTCCAATTGAAATTAATACATTATTGTATTCCATGATATGTCACTCTTCAATATAATAGACGGTTCATGATTAAGTCCTACATTATTTGTGTCTAATTCAAAAATAGGTCATTTTAAAAACATATTTCAACTGGGTGTAGTGGTGCATTTTGGAGACAGGCTAATGGATCTTGCTGAGTTTGAAGCTGTCATAGTCCACATAATGAGATCCTGGATACTCATGGCCATGTATTGAGATCCTGTCTCAAAAAACAAAAAAGAAAATTTAAGTAACTATAGCATATATCACATTATAGAATTTTCCTAACTTAATCTGGCTTCAACTCTACTCAACTTAACCCTTCATTGTCTTCACTCACATCAAGAGAACTATATTAAGAATGACAATAAGAAGCAATGTGCAGAGTCCATTCTCAGAAATAAAGAAACCCATTGAGTCCTTCAATGACCGTGTAGCAGGGATTTTCATCACCTCCAAGTGAGAGAAGATAGAAGGAGTCATGAGACATCTTCATCTTCTGAATTATAATGACATATTTGGGTAATGGACAGTTGTCTCAGTACTTCTACTGTAAGATACCCATGTTTAGTTCCTGGCACCCACATCAGATGGCACAGAAACTACTTGTATTCCAGCTCTAGGAGATCTGATACATTTGTCTGGCTTCCTTGCATGCCAGATATGCAAATGGTGTAAAGACATAAACACTGTATATATTTTATATAATAAATTTTTCAATTATAAAACTAAAAACTTGAAAGCTTTTTAAAAATATGGAGTCATATATAGAGATATGGTTTAAATACATGTGTGTTTGAGAGAGAAAGAGACTACATATTATAAAAAGGCTTTCTTATGTATTTTACAAATTTAAATAAAAATAATTTAATTTAGGTATATTGTCAGAACATGGTCCTGGAATGGAATCATGTAAGGAGATTTCTGAATGCTTGGGAGAACAATCACAAGAATACAAGAGTCTTATGTCCACACTTTCCTCCAAACACAAAATAGTTCTTAGAAATTTTTTTATGCTCCTCCCAGGTGCAGCAGATAAGAGTGAGTTTACTTCAGATTACTCAATATTTCTTGTTGTTGTTATTCAATTAAATGTTTAAACTATTCTTTATATGCCTGTATGGAAAAACCTGTTTTTTGTGTCTGGCTTGTGCTTGTCATTGTATACAGCTTGAAGTCATGAAAACCTTATTAATATGACCTTGTTAACCCTCAGAGTATAAAGTGTTGAGCCATGAATAACGTTGTCTATGATGTGTGACTTTTGTCTGCCTCATTTATCAGCTCTGTTCTTCCAGATTCCCCTCTAGAATGGTGACAAGTTGCACCTGAGCAGGGACTAGGTCAGCTACAAAAGAAGAGAGTGGGGACCCTCACATTAGGAGGTGACAATAGGGCAGAAACCAGGGAAGGGTTTTATTTTCTCAAGTTTGTAAATTATTTAATGTAATTGGTGTTTTCTCATGGGTGTTTGGTCCCTTGGAACTGGAGTTACTTGTAGACAGTTGTGAGCTGCCATTTGGGTGCTGGGAATTGAACCCAGGTTCTCTGCAAGAGCAGTCAGTGCTCTAACCACTGAGCCATCTCTCCAGCCCTTGTGAACCATTTTTTAAAGAAAAGAGAAGCACAAGCAGCAGTATCACAACTGTTCAACTGACTGCAAGATGCTTATGGTTAAAGTCTCTCGCTTCCAAAAGAAGGAACCTTAGAATATTTAGATGAAATATGTGACAGAGTCCAAAATAATATTGAAAAGGAACATGAACTAGAAAAAAAAAAAAACCTTCTTTCAGGCTCCTGTCATTCAATGTGGATAATAACCTGTTACTCACTTCCAAAGAGGAAGAGCTACAATTCATATAAGACATGGCTCGGACATGCTATTTTAAAATGGGCTCATTATTACACTAAAAAGGTACAAAGTGTGCAAAGTTTGGGAAAACTGGTTGCTAGAACAACTTTTACATCACACCAAAAAAAAATGTCCATAGACAAGACAATTTAAAAAACAAAGTTAACTTTTACAAATTATTAGGGGGTATTTAATTGGATACATCCTGCTTTAGGAATGTCCAATTATGCACTAACAATACTATTTAAAGCTCTAGAAGGGCCATTGGTGGTGGCACATGCCTTTAATCCCAGCACTCGGGAGCCAGAGGCAGGTGGATCTCTGTGAGTTCCAGGCCAGTCTGGTCTACAGAGCGAGTTCCAGGATAGACTCCAAAAGCTACACAGAGAAACCCTGTCTCGAGAAAGAAGGAAGAAAAAAAAACTCTAGAAGGGTTCCTTGCACAGTCCTCACATATTATCTTCTGAGGCAAGAAAACAACTACAGCTATTTGAATCCAGAGTAGAAGAGGCATTTTTGTGTCATGAGGATTCTTTGCTGCCTATACTGGCTGGTTTCCTGTCAACCTGGCACAAGCTAGAGTCATCAGAGAGGAAGGAGCCTCAGTCAAGGAAATGTCTCAAGATCCAGCTGTAAAGCATTCTCTTATTTAGTGATCAATGAGGTAGGACCCAGCCCATGGTGGGTGGTGCCATCCCTAGGCTAGTGGTCCTGGGTTCTATGAGAAGGTGGGCTGAGCAAGCCAGGGGAAGCAAGCCAGTAAGCAGCGCCCCTTCATGGCCTCCTGTTTTGAGGACAAGTCCTGACTTCCTTCAATGATGAACAGCAATGCTGAAGTATAAGCTTAATAAACCCCTTCCTCCCCAAGTTGCTCTTTGGTCATGGTGTTTCATTGCAGCAATAGAAACCCTAAGACACTGCCTTTGAACTTATTTATTTTCTTCACTAACTTCTCTCCTTATAGTTATTATAAACACCAGAAAATAAACCTGTGGAATGAAAATATTTACACCATAATGGTCAGA